GGGCTGAAAACACAGGCAGCAGGAGCTGAGATGCAGTCCTTAAAGAGAGGGCTGATTGTTTATTTTTACCTGTCCCATGGATCTCCTGGCTGCCCTTTGGAGGCTGTGCCTTTTAAAGTTCATGGTTGGAAGCACCTCTTTCAGTGTGAAGTAGGTTGGGGAGTGGGGTGGAGAGTACCAGTGTCTGGGGACGTGGTGTTCAGCGGCGAGGAACATCTCAGGGAATGCTCCAGAAGGTTTTAGGATGGAGACATACAGGAGCCCACGTGGACCAATGCACTGGCATGAATACAACTGGCCAGCCTCTGCCATCAAACAGCCAAACCTCAACTCGAATCCACAGAGCAAACCCTCTGTGGGCTGTGTTTGAGCCTACATCTCTGTATTTACAGCACAGGACTCAGCGGTGGTGCAGCAGCGTGGCTTCAGGCTGAGTGTACACGAGGGAGGGAGGTGCAGCTGCCCTAAAAATTCATCTCCATCTTCTGCAGCAGCTGCTGAAGTCTCAGTGCACGTGAAATATTTTAACATTACCATTTCTAAAATAGTATTTGAATATCCTTGGTTTAGGATGAGTGGTCATTAGCATCCGGGCAAAAAGCTTCCCCTGTTTTCGCTCCCGAAACTTCTGCCCTGAGAACTTCACAAAATAATAATCAGCTTCCTGCCTGATTATTAAGAAATTATTAAGAAACAGTTATTGTAATGAAAGCTCTGACTTGCCAGGTGTTCTTGCAGTACGCTCCTCACAAGGCTAAGAGAGATCAGCTAAAACTAGGTACGTTTAATGAGCCTTTTGTTCGTTAGCATTTACATTGCCTGTTGTTGCAGTGCATTTGATGCTGCTGAAGTGGGAAAAAAAAGGAGAAAGCAGCAAATGACAGTGAGAAGGCTGAGGGCCCGATCCCATCATCACTGGCCATCAAATGCTAAAAAAACCTCCAAACCTGTCAAATGTGCTCCATTGCTAAAACTATTGTGAGAGAGCATGGGATGGGAGAAAAAATGTTGTGGCCTGCCCGGACAATTGTTTTCCAGACAGCTCATGCGTTTTGCAGTGGGTTTAGAAGAATCAGGAAGGAAAGAAGCGATTCAGCCCAGCTTTCTGAGTTAACTTTTGACCAAGAATGTTGTTCACGAGGATGCCAAATGCTCTCGTTGTTTCTAAGGCAAGACACCAAAACAAAGACCCGTGGCACAGACAGAAGGGCTTTGATTGTAAGAGCCCCAATTCAGATTTCTGCTGCCACGAGAAGTGCTGCACTGATGCCAGCGTGCTGAGGTGCTAATGCTGTCCTCTTGCAGCACGTGAAGGAAGTTTTGGAGGTCTCGCTGCTGTCTTTTATTACCGTCCATAGGGAATCACAGTGCTGCTGCAGGAGCTACGATGTTTTAAGTAAGCTCTTTGAACCATTTCTGGGCGGCGATCCAGAAGGCAGTGTCTGACTGAGCTTGTAAATCTTTTCAGGCACAACTAACCTGCTACTCGACACCCTTTGAATGTAGGGGTGTTAGCATTTAGATCAGAAAAGGCTGGCACATAGGAATGCGTGGCATGGTCAGATGAGAGGGCAGCTCGGTCTGTGAGCCGTCTCCTTCTGCGGTGGTGACGCAGGCAGGGCTTAAACAAAGATCTTTTTTGCTGATTGGAGACTTGCTGAGCTAATTGAACGAGCTCTGTTCAGATAAACCAGATGGAGCTGCAGGAGGCTGCACCCCACTGAAGCTTTTCCCCACCACCTACTCTTTAACCAAACCATTTTAATGCCTGTGCTATGTGCCAGACAGTATGGAGAGGATAAGACCATCTATACTGTGCACTACCTGCATCTGTCTACCTGCCTCTCAGGTAGAGATTGCAATTTAAGGTATAAAATAATAAAAGCCGTGGATATACATCTTTTGGAACCGTATAAAAACCCTAATGTATCAAACTACAACAGCTGGGCTAGTTTCCCTTAAAATTTACAAATATTGCTAATCCTCAAAGTTTATCTCCAATCCAGGAGGAAACACATAACATATTTCTAAGTCCTGCAGCCTGACGGGTGGCTGTGCTGAATCTCCTGAGATGTGTCTACATGGTGCTGTGGCCCTCTAAGGTCCCTCAGGAGCTCCTCTAAGATGTCCAGCTCAGCCTTCAGCCACTTTCCTGGCTGTATTTTGGCTCTCAGGCTGCAAAAGTAGCTTTTACCAGTAGTGCTTTCCTCTGGAGCAAACTACCTAAATACCTTGATACTCATGCCACCTTTTGCAGGTCTTGAAGCTCACCTGTTTTCAAAAGATCCCTTATTCTTTTCCTTTATGCAAAGCATCTACTCTTTTGAGAGTCTAACACCACTGAAAGCTCCTGCACAATGTATGCATGCCTGTTCCCCTCATGTCTCCTGACGCAGCCTTCGTTTGCACTATCCAAAGACTTTAGCTGAGGTTTTAAACCTGCTCCAGCTGGTAGCCTACAGGCTGCAAGCTCGCTTTGCCTCGTTTGCAGTCGCTGCTCTCACCTTGAAGATGGTTGGAAAATGTTAAGCATTGCGTTAAGTCTGGTGGTTAATGCCACTCCGGCCCAGCCAGGAGGCCAGAGGTATCAGGACGTGGCTTTAAAGGCAGGATGCACACTGCAGCCCCTCAAACTTTTTCCTTTTTTTTTTGTTCTCTGCCAGGCACCTGCAGCTAAGTCCTGTGAGCTGCTGAGTCAGTCTTAATAGCGAGATGCTTCCAAAAAGGGTGAACTCAGTGCAGGTCATGCACTCCTGCTGCTTCTGTTACACTGGCTCCGGTGCCAATTTCAAGGCGATTCAGGTCCGTCAGCTGGCAAAAGGCTATGTTGCTGAGGGGTGCATAAACTTAGAGAGCTGCATCTGCTCACGTATCAGACCAGAGCCATCTCTGGTGTGAGCATAGGGTCAGGACTGTGTCTGGGAATAATGGCTGAAGAAGGATAGTGAGGCTCTTTTGTACCCTTTAAAGTTCAGTAACAGCACTGAAAGTTTGAAGTTTTCCTCCATATGCATTTCTGCAGCCTAAATCCGGTACTGGGATGGACTTGGCTTGGGGTCATCTGCCCCCACATCTTTCTGTCTATTGTGTTATATGAGTAGTTATTTCTGTTTTTGCAGAATTACTTCAGCTGCAACCCTGCTTTCACAGGACTGTCAATAAATGGGTAAAAAGTGGCAGAAAACACATCATTTGTGCCACATGTTCTGTGGCGTAGCACCGACTCCTCTGTCCTTGGTTCAACATTAGATCATCTCCTCTTGTGCAAAAGGCTGGGCCAGGATCTGACACCATGTGATGCCTGGCTTTTCGTAGGGCACAGAAACGTGTTTGCTTTCCTTTCTATTACATCTGCTGACATTCAAGTTGGCAGCATTTCATCCAGCTGCTACCTGTTCAGCTGCGGTGCCGTGCTGGACAAAAGCTTCCGTGAAGCAATTGTGATTGATCTTTATTTGACAAACAGTCAGAGGACAGCAGCATTTCTCAGATCGCCCGCTGGAGTTGGAAAGCACTGGATAGTAGCGAGCAGACCTTCTGTCACACGTTCCTATTAGATAATCTTTAACACCTTTTCATTTGCTCATTCAAATACCGTCAAATCCAACCCTGTGACATACACGGGAATTATTATCTCTGCAGGGAGTCTCTGAACTGAAGAGAAATCAATCTCCTAGGACCTGCTGGATGATTGCAACACTTTCAGAAAATTTTGTCTGGATTACAGGTTTGCATTTACTAGAATTGCCTTGCTGGGAACTCATGCTGTATGACCTCTTCCACTGAAAGCCCAGAACTAGCCTCAGTCCCTCTACACATTAAAAGCAAGTTAACATGTTCCCGTTATATCCACAAAAACAGGACATGATAAAGACTTTTGGCTCCTGCCAATGCAAGAGCTCAGATCAGGTCATCAATACGTACTAATAAAAAGGCTGTGAAATAGCATTTACTGCTATTCCTGCTTTCACTTTCCTTTCTCCTTGAGCTCTGTCACTATGTCAGAAACTGTAAGATGGCATCCACGGTATGCCTGCATGACATACGTGAGAAGCTGGAGCAGAACACCAGGCTATTTAACATTATATATTTTTATGTATGCCAATAACACATCAAAAAAATAAATATTTTCCCAACAAAGTCATTTGCTGTATGACTAAAGGCCAGAATAATTCCTTCTCAGTCAATGCTGTGGCAGGGCAGGGAGCACTTCCATGTGCCAGGTTTGCTTTCACCATGCAGCCAATGTGACATGAGCAAAGCAAATGAGTTATCTGACTAATGGTTATGATTATGATTAAAAAAGAAACATAAAAATGTGTGAGGAAAATCAGGAGCAGTAAGCTTAGGGGCCTGGGAACCGGGAACCAACGGGTCAAACTGTAACACCTACACAGTCCTGCAGAAAAGAGCTGGCTTTTGGACAAAAGCACTGTAAGAGCGGGTGACCAGTGGCACACAGGGATCATTCAGAGCCATGTGAAGAGATGCTGAGCACCAAAGTCAACTGCTGATATGGCCCTGATGTCAGGCTCGAGGCAGCTCGCCAAGATCGTTCTGCTGGCGGCTGATAAAGGCATTAGGTATCTTGTAGCATGAACTGGGCTGAAAAGGCAGGGAAAGAGGTGATTCAGAGGACCCATCCAAAAGTCGGTGAAAGCAACATGAGGTGGCCTGAATTCCCTTTTATCTGGAATTACGTGGGTGAGTACTAATGGGAACTGAAGAAACGCGGCCAGGTGCAAGCTGCAATGCCTGAGTGCCTGAGCAGGACCCGCTTCACATATTCGAGATAATAAAAACCGGCTGCCTGCAGAAGGAGCTGACTGAAACCCCAGGGACAAATTAAGGTCAAACTGGAAGCCAAGCCTTTCTTAAAACGAGGCAGCAGCCTGCAAAGTCTGAACACAGCACCCTACCGCTCCGTGTGGTGCCCCCAACCCCAGCTCCCTCAGGGCCACCCCAGCACGGGGCGGGGGGGATCCTATGGGCAGGATCCTCCTCTGGAGGCCGTGAGGAGAGGCTGGGGATGGGGACAAGGCTCCCACAGGGCAGCCTGCCCCACATGGCCCCTTTAATGTCCCCCTCCTGCTGTCCCCGGGAGGCGGGGAAGGGGGCACGGCTTGGGGCGGGCGGCAGCCTCCAGAGGCCGCCCGCTGGCGGGGCAGTCGCAGCGTGAGGGCGGCAGGAGCACGGGCTTTGGGTTTTTTTTCGCCCTCTTCGTGTCTCTTAATCATCGACCCGGCGGCTTTGGCAGAGGCTGTGTGGGGGAATTTCCCCGTTCCCAGCCTGCTGGGGACGGCAACACCGCCCTCGGCACCTCAGCTCTTCCGCGGGGGGCTAAGAGTGACTCCTTGAGCCGCGCATTTATTTTTATTTTTTTGGGGGGGAAAAAACGAAGAATCCGCTGCGTTTGGAGGCTGAGAGGACTCTTAGGTACTTCGCCATTGATGCATCCGACGTGGATATTTTGGAGAGGCTTAGTACGTTTCTGAGCAGTGCCGGGAAGAAATTCTGACTAAACGAGCAAGAATTGGGAAAATGAGAGAGCTGCGGCGATAGGGCTCGGTGATATCTGTCTGTTTGGTCGTGTGTCTCGAGATAAGCTCTGCTCTCTGCTTTAATTCCTTCCCATACTACTGGGCGAAGGTCTGAGAGGCTGAAATAATCCCAAATTGGAGGAGAGTGGTGCGGCGAGCCTCTGAGGGGCACGGGACCCTACTATGTCTGTAGGGTCTCAGCTCTGTCAAGGGAGCAGCACGCTGTGGGGTTTCTGGGGTCGGGTATCCTATGTGTGTATCAGTAATAAAGCCAGTGTTAGTGAGTCTGTGTGTAAATTAAATCCTATTTGTCGGGGCTTGCACGTTTCTGCGTTGTGTGATTCCAGTGGGCTAACACAGAAACTGAGGAGCCTTCATTGCTTGGGCAGGTTGAAATACGATGGAGGCAGAAGTCAGGCTATATTTTGGCTTTATATCAGTTAAATTATATCTGTTGTAAGTAAAAAATTTGTCTTGATGTGTTGAGGGTGGGGGGAAGTTAACTGCTGTCTTTAATTTTGGCAGTGCAGCCTTAAAGCGAAGGTTGTGTCTGTGGCTGGTGGTGGGGAAGCAAAACTTGGTTTTGTTTTAATGAAGCAAAGATCCTCCGATCCCGATGGCAGGACTGGGGGCTGTGAGGAGCTTGGAGCTGGATTTGCTCCTTCTCTGGCACCGTGTCATGCATTCCTGTGGCTGTGGCGCTTTCATGCTGAGGTGCTGGTGGTTCATCTGTGAACTGTTTCTGACAAAATAGTGGGTGCCCTTCCTTGCTTGTGTTTCATTCTTACATCAGTGGTGTGCATTGCAGAGGCCTGAGGAGTAAGCTGGATTACCCTGGGCTTGGTGGCAGAGTATTTGTTTGGACTTCTATGGTTTGAGTTCCTTTGTGCCTCTTTTGGTGTGTCGTGTCAGAAGAGTGAACACCCAGGTAACTTCCTCGTGAAGGAAAGATGAGAAAAGGAAAACCAGGGCTGCAGTAACCACTCATCTATGTTCGGTACCTGCAGCTTGCGCTAACTTCATTTGCACGCTGGATTAGCAGCATATCTAGAGGGAGGAAGTGGCCCAAAGCAAGTTCATCTTTCTGCCTGGTTTTGCACTGCTTCCTGATAACATTAGCAAGAAGGAGCCTTGTAAGCTGGTAGCAGAAACAGGCCTTAACAGAAGCAAAATGCCTCCATATCTTCTGCCTAAGCCTACCAGGTCATGCTAATGTTGATAACATCGGGAAAAAGGGGAGAGAAGTTTAATAGTGACCGTGTTCAAATGCCATTTGATGTCAGATGTAGTCAAACTAGTTTGGCTTGGTGAGAACCACTGGAGGTGCTTTGCTGCAGTGCTCCTTGAAATCCTGCCCGAGGGACAGACTGCTTTCCTCCTGTATGATGGGGGTAATGGTTGTCCAAATACGCAGTGGAGACAGATTTGAACTCAGATGCCTTTAAGTGTTACTGCCTTGTGATTGTCAAAGGTATTAATTAAACATTTCTACCCTTAGCATGTTTGGAAGGTCCATCTTAAGAGGACAAGGCACAGCACTTTATTAAATGTTAGCATATACATTCATGTAATGCTAGTTTTATTTGTAGAAGCTTTAAATCCTTGCTTTCTTTCACAGAAAGAAGAATCAATAATGTCAGCGCTGAACTGGAAGCCCTTTCTCTATGGAGGTTTAGCATCAATCACTGCAGAATGCGGTAAGCATTTCTGGAGCTGTCTACATGATTTCCTTAACTGAGATGGGTGCTTTTAATGTAAGCTTGGTTCCCAGGCTATTAATGACACAGTATTATAAGGTCTTTTGTAGGGTACAACACAGGAGTGTTGCTTTAATGCTGTGCGATGTGTTGCTCAGAATTTTGTTAAAATTTTAAAACTTCTGTCTGTAAATTCATATACCTGTCTTGTTTTAACGTGACCTTTGTCTTTGGATTCTATTATTTGGTGTGTACAGATTTGGTCATAAGTATGCACAGCTTTTGTTTTGCTAGAGTAGATAAGCTTGTCATGTTGCCTGTAAACATAGTGAAGACAACAATTGGATAGGAAGCAGGCACGGCCTCTGACAAGCTGTCTAGAAGAAACAGAGTGATGTAGAATGAACTGCTTTAACAAAGTCCTGGTAAGAGACTGTATGCTTTTATTTTCAGGACTGTTTTTATATGTTCTGGTATTTAATAAAAGCTGCAGTTTCTTAGGGCATGTTCTTTGTCTCCTTTGGTTAGGTAAGTCCTTGCTTAACTTTCTCTGAATTTCTCTCTTTAAGGTACTTTCCCAATTGATCTGACTAAAACACGTCTGCAGGTTCAAGGTCAAGTAAATGATGCTAAATATAAAGAGATCCGCTACCGTGGAATGATGCACGCCCTGGTCAGAATATGCAGAGAAGAAGGACTGAAAGCCTTATACTCTGGGTAAAACAAACTGACTTGTAGTATTAGCTTCTGAACGCTTTATTGCTGATTATAAACCCATAGTGGTTAAGCTCATGGGTTTCAGATTGACAGGTATTTAGAGAAAATGCAATGTTCTCCTCTGTGTGCAAGCAGAAGGCCCAAGCTTGGATTACTTCAGGCTTTGCACTCTGCAACAGCACTTGATGTTTCTAAAGAAAACAACCTACTTGAGAAATAATATAGTGAAGCATAAAGTTCTTCTGTCCAATAATGCGACATTTTTTCCATCTATACAATGCTACTATAGTGGTTCAATCATGCAGCTGGAGAAAAATGGCCTTAACCTTTGTTAATTTATTTTTTCTGCTTTGCACATATATCAGTGTGCATGCTTCTCTTTAGAAGATGTAAGATGGGGGGGAAAGGTGTACTTTGCAGCTGTCTGGGACAAGTTTGCCAGCTATTTTAGAGATCCCAGGTTGAGGTATGCCTTCATTTATGTTCTTACAGTGTTTATTTAAAAAACAAACAAACAAAAAAACCCACCTTGCTTTGTCTGCAGTGAGTTTAAAGTATAGATTTAAATGAACAAACCTTTAATAGATGTCTTGTGTTCAGTCCCCTGCTTAAAAAAAAAAAAGTAGTTTGCTAATCAGTCTTTTTTCAATTTTGAGCATAAATATTATCATTACCTATTTTTACAGGATTGCACCTGCAATGCTACGGCAAGCTTCATACGGAACTATAAAAATAGGCACTTACCAGAGCTTAAAAAGAATGTTTGTTGAGCGTCCAGAAGGTGGGTGCTTTTTTCTTCCAGTTTAATTGAGGACTGTTTTACTTGAAGCTGGTTGTTTACCATTTGCAGTTTTACTGTAGAAGTTTGAAGAGGTCTTCTAAGAAGACATTCCTTGTGCCATTTAGAACAAAGTGAGCCAGCAAGGAAGTGGCAGTGCTGATTTTAAGGCTTTTGTAGTCAGCGCTCTTTCTGACTAAAGTAGAGGTGGCATCATCCCGCCCGGATGCATCTTAAACTTTGTAAATCTGCAGCTAATCTCTTTTTCTTGTTTTTGGAATAGATGAAACCCTGATGATAAATGTTCTATGTGGCATCCTTTCAGGAGTAATTTCATCGTCTATTGCCAACCCTACAGATGTCTTAAAGGTAATTAATTATGCATTCTGTAGAGTTTGTCCTTATTTTCTTCTGTATTTTAATTGAGGAAATACAAAAGTTGATGAATACAAGATTTACTGTTTTGTAGCACCACTTGTTATAGTCTCTTATATCTTCAAAAAAATAAGTAAGGCTGTTAATTCTTTGAACCTCTTTCAGATCCACACGTATTATTTGGAAGTATGTACTGAGAAACTAATGGTTGGGGAGGTAGCTCAATGCATATTTTTTTCTTGGGAGTGGGCTGGGGAGAGAATCATATAAGATGACTCTAATTTTCATGCTGTAGTGTTTGTGTGGAAGCTCTCCTGTGTCTTTTATCTGTATGGGTTGATGCTTGGTAACATTAAAAAAAAATAAATCTAGAGTGCAAAATAGGTAAGCATCAATTCAGAGGTAAGAGTTTCAGCATGTGAGTGCTGTTGTACTGTATTTTTCTGGAAATTATCCTGCAGGAAAAGTTGTTTCTCTTAGAGGCTTTGCAATCCAGTGTCCTGTGGAAATAGTGCTGCCACATCATTCACTCGGAAGTGAATTTGTGAAAGCATCACCTCTTTAGAACCTGGTAACTTAATGGTAGATGGTCGAGGACTTCTTTTCCATGTACCTTAAGGGGTTTTTGGTATTTAAATTACAAACCTATAGCATTTGAGTTAATGGGTGCCTCTAATGAAAAATTAAGGCAATTTTTCAGGTAGTAGTTTTGAAGATATTCCTCTAAAACCACTAAAAACTGAATTAAATCCTTAATGGGGCTAGTGTAGTTATTTAGAGGCATTTCTAAATAACCAGCTTGTGGATGATCCTAAATGAGGCAGAGCTGTTAGAGAGTGCCCGAAGGTGGGCTATAAATGTGGTGAAGGGTCTAGAGGGCAAGGTGTATGAGGACTGGCTGAGGTCCCTTGGTTTGCTCAGCCCCGAGCAGAGCAGGCTGAGGGGAGGCCTCATGGCAGCCTGCAGCTCCCTCACGAGGGGAGCGGAGGGGCAGGCGCTGAGCTCTGCTCTCTGGGGACAGCGACAGGACCCGAGGGAACGGCATGGAGCTGGGACAGGGGAGGGTCAGGCTGGGGGTTAGGGAAAGGGTCTGCACCCAGAGGGTGGGTGGGCACAGACTCCGCAGGTTTGATTTCTGGATGGTTCTGTGTGGAGCCAAGTGTTGGACGTGATTATCCTTGTGGGTTCCTTCCAACTCAGGATGTTCTGTGATACAAGAACTTGGTTGTCACCGAACTTGTATTTGGTTGTTACCGTGCCAGTGTCCAAAGGACATTCTCAGAAATCCACAGGGTTGAAGAACATGGCTCCTAGTAGCTGAAATCTTAATCTTTTTAACCTTTCATTTTAAGGTGCTCTTGTGAGAACACTGTAAAGGATATCCTGCAGAACCCAGCTGTCAGTCTAATCTAAATGGCGTAGTGTGCAAGTACAGAAATAGAAGTGACTTAATGCAGCTAAAAACTGCACCCCATAGTGATTCAAAATTAGCAGCTGCATTTAGATGGTGAAGGTACTTGCAGAGATTGCATCATGGCAATGGTAATGTCAGCTATTACCTTGTATGCAGAGAAATTGACTTTACTGTTTCAAAGATTATAATTTACCATGTTTGTAAAATTGTATTAAACTGTTACTGGTCTTCTGCTTGAAAAGCATTTCTTTTCTCTTTCAAATAATCTCAGATCAGAATGCAAGCCCAGGGTAGTGTGATTCAAGGAGGAATGATGGGCAACTTTATACAGATCTACCAAACAGAAGGCACTAAAGGATTATGGAAGGCAAGTTTTATGAACTACTTCTTATCTTACTCAGGTGAATTTCATATATTTCTACAGTATTCTCTAACAAAATATGGGTAAGTCAGTAGCTAAGAAGTGTGTAGTTTGTGAGGACTACTTCACTGCTGGCATCTCGGTGCATTTTAACAGTGTTGCTGCAAGTATTGAATCCAAACATTAGTCCAGTCTTATTTAAAAAAAAAAGTTAGGGTGACTGGCTCTAGCATTAGTTAAAGAATGCTCTGTAAAACACAATCTGTATGCTCTACTCTTTTTATTAAAAAAAAAAAGCCAAAACAAAACTAAAAACAAACAAACAAACAAAACAACACACAGACATTTGGAATATTTGGAAGTGAAGATACTAATGAACATCTGCTGGAGCTCAGGAATTTGTGTACTCAGTCTTGAAGGTTGTTCTGCTGATTACTGTCAGCGACTACAGTAAGTGAAGGCTGTAAGAATGGACGATTGTTGTGAAACAGATGGAAAATAGAAAAGATTTTGCAAAAATTTCATCATCTCCATGTTGCTTCTCTGTTCATGTTCATCATCTTGTCAGTTTTTCAGGTAGTGTTAAGGGGAGCTGCTATCACCTGGCTATTGAGGTCTTAGTTGACAATTGATGTACAAATTTGGAGGTTAAGCAGAGAGATGGAGTAGCGTTAAGGAGCTGAAATTAACGTTCAGCGTGGGCAAGTGATTTACCTATTAATTTGAATCTGTATTTTTGAGCACGTATGTCTAAGACTTGCACTACTTAGTGCTTTGTGAGCATACAGTGTTGTAAATCCATTCATGGTGTGCTGCTTTGTAGTAGAGAAGCTAGGCCTGTCTGCTGGTGCATAAAAGTGAGTTATACTTTTTTTTCCCTCCTCTAGGGGGTGTCCCTGACAGCACAGAGAGCTGCTATTGTTGTTGGAGTGGAACTGCCGGTGTATGACCTTACCAAGAAGCACCTAATCATGTCTGGCTATATGGGAGACACAGTATATACTCACTTCCTGTAAGTTTTTATAACGAAAGCTGCTTGCATCACTCTCCTTTGGTTAGTTGTCGTTATGTGGAATGAAACTTCAGATTTTTCTCTTCTGAGAAGATAGGTATTCACCAATCCAATTCTATTTTATCAGTTGAGATGTGTTTGTACACCTTAGTGCAATAACACTTCAAATAGCGCATAATGTGGAAGCTAATTTTATTTAGGAATTGTTTTTAACCTTTCTCAAAGGTTCAAAATTCTGTATTATAGTAAATGAAAAGTGCTTTCTGTGTCTATTAGCTGATGTAATTTTTAAGCATTAAAAACACTCATTGCTGCACTTTTTTTTTTTTGGGGGGGGGGTGGAGTGATTCTTGTGCTTCTTTAAATGTAGTAGGTGAACCTTTATTAAAACCTTCTTTTATTAGCTCCAGTTTTACGTGTGGGCTAGCTGGAGCCCTTGCATCCAACCCAGTTGATGTTGTGAGGACACGCATGATGAATGAGAGAAGCCAACGAAACGGTGCACACTCAAACTACAAGGGCACTCTGGATTGCTTGTTACAAGTAAGTAGCTTGTGTATCAGCTTAAGTAGAACCTGGTGCCCAAGCAATAATTCTGGTATGGAAATTGAAATTGTTCTAAGTTTCCCTAAAAATGAAAGCAAATCAAGATTACAGCACTCAGTATTGCAGATTCCCTGTAGCTGACATGATGTCTGGATTTCTCTCGCTAGTAGAGTTCTGTAAATGTGTTCTTGTTGTTTATGTGGCTATATTTATTTGTATTTTATATTTTTTTCAGACCTGGAAGAATGAGGGCTTTTTTGCTCTCTATAAAGGGTTTTGGCCAAACTGGCTAAGACTTGGTCCTTGGAATATCATTGTATCCTTTTAAAAGGTGTTCAGAAGAGATGAAATGAGCCGTACAGCAGCAGGTATTGACAGACAGTTCCAAATCTTTGTATGGAAGGTGTCATATCAGCATCATTTTTTATTAATGGAACATCATCTAGTTGCCCATTTCCTTAGTCAGCTGCTTCCAGTCAGGTCGCCTACGTGATGTGTTACACAGCGAATCTTATAAGATCCTGAAAACCCCTTTTCACTTACTCCCCCAATTTCCTATCTGTCCATTTCCTTAATTTGGAGCTTAGTTTGAAATCAAATGGAGCAGATGAGTTGGGAAGGGGGGTTGTTTCTGGACCTGAGGAAGCTGTAGGCAGCCTTCCATTTATCTTGGCCTAACACAAGTTCGTGTAGTTGTGCTTTAACGGTCAAGTGGTCAGAGCCCTGCCAAATGAGTTCCTAGTAACCATGCCACCATGCTCTTCCTATGAGCAAAGCTACTTAAAGCCAAGTAAAGAGCCTGAGGGCTCTCAGAGGGTTCCCCTGCCTCCTCAGTTCTCTCTTGAAGATCTGTAGAAATAGGGCTGAGTAAACAATTGGCCTGGCCAGGCTTGAAGCATTCCTTTTACTGCAGTGCTCTGAAGCAGGTTGAATTATTCCACGTAGAACTGCGTGACAAAAATGATCAACCAGCACTACTACAAAGGAGGGAACTAAAAGGAAGTTTCCATATTTCAGCACATATGCTGCTATCCTTTAGTAGTGAAATAACCATTTTGCACTGAGTGAATGCAAAAGTTTTCCTTAATAATGGGTTCAGTTCTTCCTGACATACGAACAGCTGAAGAAACTAGACTTGTGACGTACTGAAGCCTGTACTGCATTCTTCTACCACGCTGTTTGAATGTAGAGCAACTTGTAAGTTATCTCGAGTATCTTCTCTTCTTCCTGCCTGAGATCATGACCAAAGGAAGAGGTCATCACAGGACTGTGGCCAGTCACCCAGAAGTGATGTCAAGGCTCCTGTACCATTGGCTTGCTCACATGATGAAGTGGATGACGTGCACTATTTTCTAGACTGAGCCAAATGGGATGGTATTCCTTTCCAGCTCTTGAAGTATTCCTGAATGTGAAGATCCCTAATGTCACTTTCGCTGTCGAGACCCAGATGCACAGTGTTTTATAAGTGTCAGAGGTTGAAAACAATTTTTATTTTTCTAAAGGAGGATAGGTACTACCAAAGCATCGGGCTTTTACTGTTTTCAGAAGAGTACAATATTTGACTGCAATAGTTCAGTTCTTATTTAACTGCAAGTGCCATGAGATGTCTTTACAGCCTTCCATTTTACCTGCTGCAATACAAAATCTGCTTCTGATTTTATAGACTACCTGTGTTGCAAGTTCTGCTGAACTTGCTGGGAATAAACCAGCTTCACTGGCAGGTGGGGTTGCTACAGTTCTCGGTTGTGCGTAGTGTGAGGAGAGCTTTTTCCACTGTATCGTTCTTGGTTTTCAGAGTAAGTGGTTTCTGAACATATTCGTATGTAAACTTGAATTAGGAATGAAGTTCAGACAAGCCCATGCTCATCTGCCTGTCCTGAGAGGACATTTCTGGTGTTGGGAAGAACTGCTTTGATGTATAGCTGCTATGGGCAGTTACAAAGGTGTGGAAAAAGAAATTCTGAATGGAGCAGTTCAGGCCAGTTAATGTAGGTGCAAATGTGAAAAGAAGAAAGGTAAGTCCAAGAAAGACTGCTTTTATTACTTAAAAAAGTAAAAACAAACAAACGAAAAAAGCAACACCAACAACTAACAAAAAAAAATAGATTTTGACCCATCCTGGAAAAGAAAAAACAAAAAATCTGACAAATCTGCCAAAAAATCTTAACAAAAAAAGGCTGGTTCCCCTGCAGGAAAAAAAAAAAAAAAAAAAAAAGAAACAACAGAATAATTGCATCAAAAAAAAGACAATAAAAAATGTGCATCAAAAAATGAATCCCCCAAAAGACTCAACCAAAAAATGTCTGGCCAGACCAGAATAGTTCCCCTCAGAAAAACTCAACCCCCAAAAGGCCAGCCCCCTGCAAACAACTCCTCAAATATACCCAACCCCCAGAAGGCTGGGACCCTGATGAAGACACACGAAAATATCCCACCTGAAAAATGGAAAGACCAACAAAATCTCCCCAAACCCTAACCTCCAAAAGGCTGGACCACCATCAACAATCAAAAATAAATAAATAAATAAAAATCCAGAAACCTAACCCAATGCAAGAAAAAAGGCCCAGCCCAAAAAAAAAAAAAAAAAAAAGGCTGCCCCCAAAAAAAGACCCCCTCAAAAACAAACAAACAAACAAAAACAACAAACAACAAAAGAAGGACAGAAAGAAAAGTGCCCCAAAAGGCTGGCACCCAACTGAAAAAAAAAAGGGCACTTCCCCAAAAGACCTGCTTAAAAATTAAAGAAGGTGGCCATGCAGAAAGAGCTCCTTCTCAGAAAAAAAGAAAAGACCCAAAAAGGGCAGTCCCCTCAAAAAAGGGAAAAGATCTTTCCAACAAAGGGCAGCACTCAAAAAAGAACCCCTCAAAAATAGGTGGAATCCAAACAAAATAGGGCAGCCCCTCAAAAAAATAAAAGGACCCAAAAAAGGCACATCCCCCACCAAAAAGAGCCCCTCAAAAACAACAGAACGGAGGCCCCAAAGGAGCAGCTCTCCAAAAAGAGCCCCTGGGGAAAAAAAAATAAAAGAATTGGCTCTTGGATTATTCCCCATTATTGATCTTTCAGGTAGGCAGTGATGAACTTTTGCTCATAAGTAGAGAAGGACTTTGTGATGGGAAGGTTGGAGGCCGTCTTGGGCACAGTGATCTTGAATTAAATGTTTTCAAGTCTTGGAGAAGTTAGGATTGGGGTTATAAAGCTTCTGGAGGGCAGATTTTGGCCTGTTAAGGGGACTGGTTGGTGAAGTCCTGAATGAAGGGCAACGGAGGCCAGGAAGGCTGGATGCTCTTCAAGAAAGCCTGCTCCTATGCTTTTAGGATTTGTCCCCATCTGCTGAAAGATGAGCCGTCTTGGAAGACGACCGGCCTGGCTGAACAGAAAGTTTGGGAAGAAGAAGAGGGTCTGCGACCTTTGGAAGGGGTGGGTCACTGAGGAGGACTACGAAGATGTGGTGAGGCTGCGCAGAGACAAAATCAGAAGGGCCAAAGCCCAGCTGGAGCTCCATCTGGCTGCTGCTGTTACAGACAATAAAAAAGATTTGTATAAATACGTAAAAAAGGAAAACTGAGGAGAATCTCCGTCCTTTATTGGGTGTGGGGGGAACTTGGTGACACGAGATGAGGAAAGGCTGAGGTGCTTCATGCCTGCTTTGCCTCGGCCTTTGGTTGTTCTCCAGGTACTCAGCCCCTGGGCTGGCAGATGGGGACGGGGAGCAGAATGAAGCCCACAGGGAAATGGTTGGGGACTTCTTACTCCACTTGGGGGTATGCAAGTTGATGGGGCCGGGTGGGATCCCCCCAAGGGTTCTGAGGAACTGGCTCCTCTCTCCAGGCTCAACAGCCCCAATTCCCTCAGGCCATTGTGCACCATGTTCAGCTGGCTGTGCCCATCTCCCCCATTTCCTCATCTCCCCCAGTTCACCACTTCCCCATTTCTCCATCTCCCCTATTTGCCATTATCTCCCCCGTTACCCCATCTGCCCAATTGGCCCATGTCCCCCACTTCCTAATTTCCCCCATTTGCCCATTCCCCCATCTCCCCCATTTCCCCCATGCCTCCATCTCCCCCATGCCTCCATCTCCCCCATGCCTCCATCTCCCCCATTCCCCCATCTTCACAACTTCCTCATCTCCCCTATTTCAACATTATCTCCCCCATTTGCCCATCTCCTCCACTTCCCAATTTCCCCATCTCCCCCATTTCACCTAACTCCCCTTTTTCCCCAATTCCCCATTTCTCCTATGCCTCCATCTCCCCAATTTCCCCATCTCCGCCATTTCCCCATTCCCCCATCTCCCCCAATTCCCCATGTCCCCCAATTCCTCATCTCCCCTATTTCCCCATGTATCCCATTTCCCCCAATTCCCCATTTCCCCAATTCCCCCATTTCTCAATCTCCCCTGTCTCCCCATCTCCCCCATTTCCCTTAATTCCCCATTATCTCCATTCCTCAATCTCCCCCATCTCCCCCATCTCCCCATTATCTCCCTCATTTCCCCCATTCCCCCATTATCTCCCCAATTTCCCCGTTATCTCTCCCATTCCCCTATCTCCCCCATTCCCCCATTACCTCCCCATTTCCCCATTATCTCCCCAATTTCCCCCATCCCCCATTATCCCCCCATATCCCCCATTCCCCCATTCCACCTCCGACCTCCCACCACCAGGGGCCGCTCCCTCCCCGTTCCCCTTCCTCCCCTCCCTCCCTCCCCCTCGCCACGCGTCCTCCCCTCGCTCCCCCCCGCGCCTCTCCCCCGGTTCCGCCGCCGCCATGGCGGAGCCGCCGGGCCGGGAGCCCCGGGACCGCCTGAGCCTCTGGGACCGCCGCCCGCAGCCCCTCGCCCCGCTCAGCGAGCTCCAGGCGGACTCCGTGCTCCGGCTGAAGGCGGCGGCCGAGGCCCTGCCGCTGCCACCCGAGGTGAGCGGGGGCTGAGGGGGGCGAGGCGCCGTGTGCCGCTCCCCCGGGAGGAGCCCCCGCAGCCTCCTCGCCTCACGGGGGGCTCGGGGGGTGCCCCGCGCCTGGGGAGGGGTCTCGGGGGGGGCTGAGGAGCCTCAGGGAGCTGCCACAGGGGGTAGGGAGGGGACCGGGAGCCGCCACACCGGGATCCTGGCTGTGCCTTCCTGCACAGAGCAGCGCGACCAGGAAATCAGGATTTTTTTAATTAGCAAACGACTTGTTAGTGAGGTGCCAGGGTGTTTTGAGCTAGCACTTTGCGGTTTTATGCTGGTCATGTTCGTAGCGATAGCACTGCTGTCAACTGAATCCAAAAGCCTGTTTTCCTAATGTCATAGAGTCACAGAATCACAGAATCTCTAGGTTGGAAGAGACCTCAAGATCATCGAGTCCAACCTCTGACCTAACACTAACAGTCCCCACTAAACCATATCCCTAAGCTCTACATCTAAACGGCTTTTAAAGACCTCCAGGGATGGTGACTCCACCACTTCCCTGGGCAGCCCATCCCAATGCCTCACAGCCCTCTCAGTAAAGAAGTTCTTAACATATATAACATAATCATAATAACCATATTCATACCATAATCATGTAACAACGTGTGTGTTTTTTTGACTTGTTAGCGTTAGGTCAGAGGTTGGACTCGATGATCTTGAGGTCTCTTCCAACCTAGAAATTCTGGGATTCTGTTTTCACCATATAGGCATCTCCAGTTGTATTTAAATGTAATTTCTCTCAACTTGCTCCTTTCCATATTTTTACTGCTTAAAAAATAATCGTGGCTGCTGATTCCTATCAAGCCAGTGCTATTCCTTGTCTTCTAAAAAAAACCAAACCAACAAACTTTAGCTTGACTTCTTCACTAAAAAGTCTTGGAAAGAATCTGAAATGGTATTTCCCAAATGTGTAAAGTTACAGATTTTCTCAGGGCATCTGACGAGGAGATTTGACCATTCCTGTGCTGTGGTCTTGCTGTGTAGCACAGACAGTAGTGGCGTTTATTTTTGCTTCTACATAATTCTGAGCTCTTAGGTTCTCAGATACTTTTCTAGGATGTTTCTCTGAGTGTATAACCAGTTAAATTGGAAATTAATGCAGTGATATGTCAAGTAGATGTATATTCAATTTCAGTTCTTATATAAGTATTTAGATAAATTCTTTTATTTTTTTTGACTCTAAGTAAGTACATTTGTTGGGTGTTTCTGAGTATATAGCTGTGCTGGTGGTTGGTGTGTTATCATATTGATTAATAAAACATCCATTGCATCGATTACTTCAAAAGTAAATGCTGGTAATTTTCTTAAATTGACGCTTTGGATGCTGTAACTGTAGTTGAGCTGAATATACTCATTTTTAGTAAACAGCCCGACTAAAGTTTGTGCGTTTTTTGTGAGCAGCTTCCAATCGAAGACTTGTGCAGCCTGACGTCCCAGTCGCTGACTGTTGCGCTGACGGCCGCGGTGCCAGAATCCACAGAGGATGTTCTCCTGAAAGGATTTGCCATGCTGGGGATGGAGAATGAAAGAATTGAAACAGCACAGCAGGTAAATGATTCCGGATAATCTCCAAGGTGCGGTAATCTTCTTCAGAGGGTTCTTTGATTTTCTTTTTTGTCTCTTGCTCAGCTTTTGGTGGTTTCATTAAATTTTTTTGTCAGTTATTAAGAAACCTGTGGAAAAAATCATTGGAGTCTGAGCTCTTAAGTAACAGATACGTTCTCCATTTTGAGTGGAGCCTTATGTGAGAGTAAGGTGGTGTGGCTCCTAATGTAGAAGAATGGCAGATCTCCTCCTTTTTTATTGTGAAGACCTTGCTTGTTCTTGTGCAAGTAAGAACAGATGAAATTCAGTCTCTCATGTTTTACTACTGATGGTGTATTTTTTCTTGATTAGTCAATAAGTTCTCGAACCTCTCTATTTTTAATAAAAGCTCATCTTCTGAATTTCTACTTCATAGATCTGTTTTTTGTGGGGGGTGAGAAAGAGGGTGGCTTTTTTTTTTTTTTTTTTTTTAAATTAATGGCATTGCATGTGAGGTGAGTTGTTCACGCTATAAAATCTCTTCTAGTTCTTCTCCTGGTTTGCTCAGCTACAGACGCAGATGGATCAAGATGAAAGCGCCAAGTACAGGTAAGTGTTCTTCCCCAGTTTCTTTAACTGTAAGCAATTTAAATCCTGAAGGACTTCATCTTGTCCCTGTAATCTTAGCATGCACTGGGGTCACCTGCTGGGGAATGTGTTGGAACAGCAGAAGCTCTCTGAGGCTGAATGCCCCACTCCCTTCCTGAAGCCTGTTGCCCTTGTGACAGAGCAGTTAGAGATTCAGATTTCCTTCCAAACTGCCTAGTATATTAAGAAAATTTGGAGTTAGTTCTGGCTTACAGCTCACCAGCGCCTGTATCTGTGAGGGTGTAGCTGCATTGCCAGCATTCCTTGACACTTTGTTTGGCTCCGCTTTTGAGAGGTGGCATTCTCATCTATTTTTGTCTGCCTGACTTTTCCATCAGGCTCAGGAGAACCCCTTTCCACTGGCTTTCGTGAGAGTCTGTAGCAGGGCTGAACGGCGTAGCCAAACCTGCTGTGGCTTCTGTGGGAACTGGCCTGGGTTTTGAAACTTTACAAACCTGCCCTTGGCTGTAAAGAGATTGTGCTGAATTCCTTCTCTTTTTTTCTATTTATCTTTGGTCTCTTCTGCTCTTGCTCTGACATTTGAGGATGAGGCATTTCCTGAAAGCAGAGATTTAGGAATACTCTAAAGCCCACGTACAGATCATTAACACCCTGTAAAGAGTGGCAGCCTTGCCCTTTGGTAGTCGGCACGTTCATGATGCACGCAGACACCTGTGTGTGTCATGAACACGGAGCGGTTTGTAGGATGGCCAGGAGGAGTAGTTACATGCAGGAGGCCAAAGGAACAGGAAAAAAATAAGTTGGTTCTTTGCCTGTTGTACATCCATGGTGAGTGGTTCACCCTCTGGTGAACTGCAACAACTTCGGGAGGGTTCTGAAGGGAAACTGAAAATTGTGTAGAAAAGGAGACCCAAATTACTATGCCCCTGCTGGACACAAGGCAGGTAGAATTTGGCTGCTAGCAGCAGCCTGCAGTAATTGCTACGTTTGTTCTGTCCATTTAGGCGTTATTTACATGCTCTAGACAGGCTGCTGTTCCAAATCCTATAGCTTTGTTATTTCTGCAGGTCATGAAACATCTGCTTGCTGTGCATGCGAGCTTGGTGCCAGTCTCTTATTCCTCGAGTTAATTTGTCTCAGGGAAAGGTACCGCCAGCGTCCCTGTAGGCAGCTGAATTTGTAAATACGAAAAGTGAAATTGTGCTCGTTTTCTGTTGATTCTCCCCCTTTCTTTTTTTTTCCAGGCAGATGAGGGATTACTTGTCTGGGTTTGAGGAGCAGTGTGATACTATACTGAACGACGTCAACAGTGCCCTTCAGCACCTGGAGGCCCTGCAAAAACAGTACCTCTTTGTGTCCACCAAGACAGGAACACTGCATGAGGCCTGTGAACAGCTTTTGAAAGAGCAGGTAAGCTTCCATGCGAGGATTACCAGAAGCTTCCAAAATACCATAAACTAAAGTTTCTTAGGCTG